CAGCTCCACACAGACACCCTCCTACGTCAGTACAAGGACCAGTCACACACAGACACCCTCCTACTTCAGTACAACGGTCAGCTCCACACAGATACCCTCCTACTTCAGTACAAGGACCTGCCACACACAGACACCCTCCTACTTCAGTAGAAGGACCAACCCCACAAAGACATGCTCCTACTTCACTACAACGGTCAGCTCCACAAAGACACCCTCCTACTTCAGTAGAAGGACCAACCCCACACAGACCACCTCCTACTTCAGTACAAGAACCAGCTCCACACAGACACCCTCCTGCTTCAGTACAAGAACCTGCTCCACACAGACACCTCCTACTTCACTACAACGGTCAGCTCCAACCAGACACCCTCCTACTTCAGTACAAGGACCTGACCCACACAGACACCCTCCTACTTAAGTACGAAGACCAACCCCACACTGTCTCCCTCCTACTTCAGTACAACGGTCAGCTCCACACAGACACCCTCCTACTTCAGTAGAAGGTCCAACCCCACACAGACATCATCCTACCTCACTACAACGGTCATCTCCACACAGACACCCTCCTACTTAAGTATAAGGACCTGCAACACACAGACATCCTACTACTTCAGTACAACGGTCAGCTCCAAACAGACACCCTCCTACTTCAGTATAAGGACCAGCCCCACACAGTCACCCTCCTACTTCAATAGAAGGACGAACCCCACAAAGACATCCTCCTACTTCACTACAACGGTCAGCTCCACACAGACACCCTCCTACTTCACTACAACGACCAGTCCCACACAGACACCCTCCTACTTCACTACAAGGACCAGTCCGAAACAACCACCCTCCTACTTCAGTACAAGGACCAGCTCCACAAGGACACCCTCCTACTTCAGTACAAGGACCAATCCCACACAGACACTCTCCTACTTTAGTACAATGACCTGCCCCACACAGACACCCTCCTACTTCAGTACAAGGACCTGCCCCACACAGACACCCTCCTACGTCAGTACAAGGACCAGTCCCACACAGACACCTTCCTATTTCAGTACAAGGACAGGCCCCACACATACATCCTCCCACTCTACTTCAAGGATCAGCCCCACACAGACAACCTCCCACTCTACTTCAAGGAACAGCTCCACACAGACATCCTCCCACTCTACTTCAAGGACCAGCTCCACACAGACATCCTCCCACTATACTTCAAGGACCAGCCCCACAAAGACATCCTTCCACTGTACTCCAAGGACCAACCCCACACAGACATCCTTCCACTTTACTTCAAGGACCAACTCCACACAGACATCCTCCCACTATACTTCAAGGACCAGCTCCACACAGACATCCTTCCACTGTACTCCAAGGACCAACCCCACACAGACATCCTTCCACTTTACTTCAAGGACCAACTCCACACAGACATCCTCCCACTCTACTTCAAGGACCACCCCCACACAGACAACCTCCCATTGTACTTCAAGGACCAGCTCCACAAAAACATCCTCCCACTCTACTTCAAGGACCAGCTCCACACAGACATCATTCCACTCTACTTCAAGGACCAACCCAACAAACTTCCTTCCACTCTTCTTCAAGGACCAACCCCACACAGACAACCTCCCACTCTGCTTCAAGGATCAGCCCCAAACAGAAATCTTCTCACATGAAAACAAGGACCAGCCAAGGTACCTTCTACTGTACTTCAAGGACCAGCCAACACAGACATCCTTCCACTCTACTTCAAAGACCACCTCCACACAGACAACCTCCCACTCTGCTTCAAGGACCAGCTCCACACAGACATCCTTCCACTGTACTTCAAGGACCAGCTCCACACAGACATCCTTCCATTCTACTTCAAGGACCAACACAACAGACATCCTTCCATTCTACTTCAAGGACCAGCTCCACACAGACATACTGCCACATTACTTCAAGGACCAACCCAACACAGACATCCTCCCACTCTACTTCAAGGATCAGCCCCACACAGACAACCTCCCACTCTACTTCAAAGACCAGATGCACGAAGACAACCCCCTACTCTACTTCAAGGACCAACCCGACACAGACAACCTCCCACTCTGCTTCAAGGATCAGCCCCACACAGACATCCTCCAAAATGAAAGCAAGGACCATCCAAGGTATCTTCCACTGTACTTCAAGGACCAGCTCCACAAAGACATCCTTCCACTCTACTTCAAGGACCAACCACACAGACAACCTCCCACTCTGCTTCAAGGAACAGCTCCACAAAGACATCCTTCCACTGTACTTCAAGGACCAGCTCCACACAGACATCCTTCCACTCTATTTCAAGGACCAACCCAACAGACATCCTTCCATTCTACTTCAAGGACCAGCTCCACACAGACATACTGCCACATTACTTCAAGGACCAACCCCACACAGACAACCTCCCACTCTGCTTCAAGGATCAGCCCCACACAGACATCCTCCCACATGAAAACAAGGGCCCGCCAACGTACCTTCCACTGTACTTCAAGGACCAGCCAACTCAGACATCCTCCCACTGTACTTCAAGGACGAGCTCTACACAGACATCCTTCCACTGTACTTCAAGGACCAGCCAACTCAGACATCCTTCCACTGTACTTCAAGGACAAGCCAACTCAGACAATCTCCCACTCTACTTTAAGGACCAGCTACACACAGACATCCTTCCACTGTACTTCAAGGAACAGCCAACTCAAACATCCTTCCACTGTACTTCAAGGAACAGGTCCACACAGACATACTTCCACTGTACTTCAAGTATCAGCCCCACACAGACATCCTCCCACATGAAAACAAGGACAAGCCAAGGTACCTTCCACTGTACTTCCAGGATCAGTCCCACACAGACATCCTTCCACTGTACTTCAAGGACCAGCTCTACACAGACATCCTTCCACTCTTCTTCAAGGACCAGCTCCACACAGACATCCCCCCACTCTATTCAAGGACCAGCTCCACACAGACATCCCCCCACTGTATTCAAGGACCAGCTCCACACAGACATCCTTCCACTTTACTTCAAGGACCAACCGCACACAGACAACCTCCCACTCTGCTTCAAGGATAAGCCCCACACAGACATCCTCCCACATGAACACAAGGACCAGGAAAGGTACCTTCCACTGTACTTCAAGGAACAGCCAACACAGACATCCTTTCACTGTACTTCAAGGACCAGCTCCACACAGACATCCTTCCACTGTTATTCGAGGACCAGCTCTACACAGACATCCTTAAACTGTACTTCAAGGGCCAGCTCAGAACAGACATCCTTCAACTGTACTCCAAGGACCAACCCCACACAGACATCCTTCAAATGTACTTCAAGGACCTGCTCCAAACAGACATCCTCCCAATCTACTTCAAGGACCAGCTCCACACAGACATGCTGACACTTTACTTCAAGGACCAACCCCACACAGACAACCTCCCACTCTGCTTGAAGGACCAGCTCCACACAGAGATCCTTCCACTATACTTCAAGGACCAGCTCCACACAGACATCCTTCCACTCTACTTCAAGGACCAAACCAACAGACATCCTTCCACTCTCCTTCAAGGACCAGCTCCACACAGACATCCTTCCATTCTACTTCAAGGACCAGCTAACTCAGACATCCTTCCACTGTCCTTCAAGAACCAGCTCCACCCAGACAACCTCCCACTGTACTTCAAGGACCAGCTCCACACAGACATCCTATCCACTGTACTTCAAGGACCAACTCCACACAGACATACTGCCACTTTACTTCAAGGACCAACCCCACACAGACAACCTCCAACTCTGCTTCAAGGATCAGCCCCACACAGACATCCTCCCACATGAAAACAAGGACCAGCCAAGGTACCTTCCACTGTACTTCAAGGACCATCCAACACAGACATCCTTCCACTGTACTTCAAGGACCAGCTACACACAGACATCCTTCCACTGTTATTCGAGGACCAGCTCTACACAGACATCCTTAAACTGTACTTCAAGGACCTGCTCCAAACAGACATCCTCCCAATCTACTTCAATGACCAACACAGACATCCTTCCACTGTACTTAAAGGACCAGCTCTACACAGATAACCTCCCACTGTGCTTCAAGGACCAACTCCACACAGGCATCCGTCGACTGTACTTTAAGGACCAGCTCCACAGAGACATCCTCCCACTCTATTCAAGGGCCAACCCCAAACAGACAACCTCCTACTTCAGTACAAGGACCAGCTCCACACAGACATCCTTCCACTGTACTCCAAGGACGAACCCCACACAGACATCCTCCTACTTCACTACAAGTAACAGCCTTACACAGATACCCCCCTACTTCACTTCAAGAACCAGATCCACACAGACACCCTCCTATTTCACTGCAACGACCAGCTCCATACAGACACCCTCCTACTTCAGTACAAGGACCAACCCCACACAGACACCCCCCTACTTCACTACAACGACCAGCTCCATACAGACACCCTCCTACTTCACTACAAGGACCAGCTCCACACAGACACCCTCCTACTTCACTACAACGACCAGATCCACACAGACACCCTCCTACTTAACTACAAGGACAAGATCCACACAGACACCCTCCTACTTCAGTACAACGACCAGATCCACACAGACACCCTCCTACTTCAGTACAACGACCAACTCCACACAGACACCCTCCTACTTAACTGCAAGGACCAGCTCTACACAGATATCCTCCTAATTCAGTAGAAGGACCAGCTCCACACAGACAACCTCCTACTTAAGTACAAGAACCAGCTCCTACTTCACTACATTGACAAGCGCCACACAGACACCCGCCTACTTCAGTACAACGACCAGCTCCACACAGACACCCTCCTACTTCAGTACAACTTCCAGCTCCACACGGACACCATCCTACTTCACTACAAGGACAAGCTTCACACACACACCCTCCTCCTCCTTTACTACAACGACCAGCTCCACATAGACATCCTCCTCCTCTTTCACTACAACGACCAACTCCACACGGACACCCTCCTACTTCAGTACAACTTCCAGCTACACAGAGACACCTTTCCTCCTTCACTTCAACGACCAGCTCCACACAGACACCCTCCTACTTCACTACAAGGACAAGCTTCACACACACACCCTCCTCCTCCTTTACTACAACGACCAGCTCCACACAGACATCCTCCTACTTCAATAGAACGACCAGCTCCACATAGACATCCTCCTCCTCCTTCACTACAACGACCAGCTTCACACAGACATCCTCCTACTTCACTACAAGGACAAGCTTCACACACACACCCTCCTCCTCCTTTACTACAACGACCAGCTCCACACAGACATCCTCCTACTTCAATAGAACGACCAGCTCCACATAGACATCCTCCTACTTCACTACAAGGACAAGCTTCACACAGATACCCTCCTCCTCCTTCACTACAACGACCAGCTTCACACAGACATCCTCCTACTTCACTACAAGGACAATCTTCACACAGATACCCTCCTCCTCCTTCACTACAACGACCAGCTTCACACAGACATCCTCCTACTTCACTACAAGGACAAGCTTCACACAGATACCCTCCTCCTCCTTCACTACAACGACCAGCTTCACACAGACATCCTCCTACTTCACTACAAGGACAAGCTTCACACAGATACCCTCCTCCTCCTTCACTACAACGACCAGCTTCACACAGACATCCTCCTACTTCATTACAAGGACAAGCTTCACACAGATACCCTCCTCCTCCTTCACTACAACGACCAGCTTCAAACAGACATCCTCCTACTTCAATAGAACGACCAGCTCCACACAGACACACAATATTTGTTTAGGAATATCACTACATGTGTAGTCATCTTCAATAAAACCCTAGCATTCAGATTCAGTACTATCTCAGAAAACATTTTCAACGAGAATGGATATGAATGATATTCGTTGAGTAGGACAAGAACAGCATATGTGATAAATCAAGTTAAAAGGCAACCGCAAATGTTACGCTTAGTGTATCTTTAAGACAGATACTTTTATATTGTTTTAAATGTGTCCGCACTGCCACATTGTATTCGATGCCTTTCATTAGGACTGTCCTCCGTGAGGCGCTCAATAGACCAGGAAGAGAGTGCCGTGAGCTTGGTCTGTTTGCAGAATGTGCATTAGCACCTGTGTGCGACTTAGTGATTGCCGGTAACAGAAGCGTCTAACATGTCAGCACAGTAACACCTTACAGGTCCTTACGTGACTAGATATGGGACAGGCAAGGCAAACACCCTCTTCACCGCTCAGACAGTGACAAAGCACAAGCGTAAGACAGGTAATGGTATATCAGACTTACGACAACACGCCTCAGCTGCATTTCGTCAATACAACAATCACGTCTCACCACCGCGTTACGTTGATTGATGATGCAACTGGAGAATTCGCACATGCATTTAGACGTTGAAATTGGCGTCCGGAGATTGTTGGTAAGTGGGATTGTTGGTAGTTGCGTGATTGAATCGTATTTACTTCATAACTCGTGAAAATAACACTTTCTTCGTATGAAGATGGGGCATTCTTAACAATGGACGCAAGTGATTCAAGACAAGAGTTCGTAATGCACTCTCAACACATAATTGACATCATGAATTGATGAAATTGTGTTCAAGGAAAATCCACCATATTCAAGGTTGGCAGTTTTCAGAATGGTCTACATGACACCTTTTGCTTTGCATGCAAGAGGTCCTTCTGTCTAAGTAGTCCTTCAGCTTTCATTCTCAAGTCAGCTCGCAGATTTCCCCCAGCACTACCACATCAATATGTACTCCTTCTAAATCTACATACCGAATCTTGTTAAGTTTCATTTGCATTTCTGTTGCTAACAGAATCAAATTCAGTATCTTTGTTCAAAATGTAAACCGTTAAAGTATCTCTATTATGTTATGCTCCCACACCGTCGGACTACTCTCGTCAAATCAACACGAGACATTCGGGAAGCTTATGCATGGTCCGAGCTTCACGGCAATAACCTCGGACGAAGTAGAACTATGGGACGCTGCATCTCTTGTAAGCGCAGGACATCAAGCAGAGTTACACTCAGTGGAGAGAGAGAATAATAAAGACAGAAAATAATGCCGGTTGATTTACACTTGGAATATTACACCAGTCACTCCAGCGCAATTATTGACCACTATAAGATAAATGGCAATTACAACCCCGTCCTTTTGGATATTTAGAAGAAATAGTCTTTTTGGATTAAAACGGGCCTTTTATCATGAAAGCCGGCGTCTCTTTTAGAAACTGTTCAGTAATGACGGTCGACGTGACTCTTAGATGAGCATGGTATTCATTTGTGTCAATTGCAAATGTAAGATCTTCTGCAGTGACAATAGGTGAACATTCACAGTATGTAGCTATTCATTCATGCAACACGGTTCCTGCATCACGTTCAGTTATCATCAAACTGAGTTGTCATTACGTCCTGTTTAAACTTCATTGATCCGAAAATAACAACACTTCAATCAGTCATCGGTTTGTGTAAAAAATGATTAAATTACAATAATTTCCTGACATGTTATGTGCTGAAATACAGTTTGTACTCAGTTCACATCTGCCGGTGGTGATTATTTACAAATAAATTCATCAACCTTAGGAGGTAAAATGACTGATTGACGAGTGGGCTTTACCAGTCGACTATACAGGACCCGAACTTGATTGAATGCACGATTCCAAACTCAGTTGAAAATACACAAGTTCAATCTTAAATAAGTGTGTCTTTTTCAGTCGCAAAATATGTTGAAGTTTTTCAAAGGACGTTCGATTAACTATTGACGAAGAAAAACCTGAAGATTATATGAACTTGTGGATAACAATAGGTAGCAATGCAACCCACTAATTTTGATCAAATACATTTTTTCAGGTACTTCATGTTGAGAAAAGTGTTAATCAACGTGCAGTGAATGTAGCGGAAAAGCCACGTCGGGATGACGTACGATATTAGCTATCTAGTTGCTGTCCATTGACGTTGTCAACAGCCAGAGTGCCAATTACATTTCAAAACAGCTTGTTTCTCACGATCGCATCCAATTTCACCAATATTGCCGACATGGAGGGCTGTACCGACAAAGGTCTCATCCTTCCGGTGTTTTGGGTATCATCTCAAAAGTTCTAATTAATTCTGATCAACACAGGCCCCGAGGCATGTAACGCAAACACGACTAAACCAGCCAGGCAACATTATGTTTGAGTTCCGTGAGGCTGTATGCATATCTCCATCTTCCGCACAAATCCCAGTTTCGATTTTTACAATATGTTTACATTTTCCCGAGTTGTGATCAGCGGGTTGACAACGTTCTGACCAATGTCGAACCCGAGCCGATGTCATCAACCATACAAACACAGGGGACCGCCATATCTGGATCTCCACCTGCAATCGCTCTCTTCTGCACGTTCGGACAGCGGGGAGGGAGCGGACAATGAATGATTTTAGATGATGGACTTGGGTTAATCACAAAACAAACGTCCGTTGATTTTCAATGCCTTAGTCATGTTTGATCACCAAGAGGATCCATGTTTGACGTTTTGAGTGATTTGAGGAAAGTGAACAATTGGAAAAGTTTTTAATAGAGAACACTGGGACGAATATCCGGTGACAGTAGAGTGCTGAACGCTCTCGGTATACGGTATGCCTCTGTTAATAGGGGCAATTCATCCTCAGCAAATACTGTCTGTTTACTTTCCAGAGATCAGACCTATCCTGATTATGAAGTCATTAATCTGAACAGAGTGTATTAACTATATGGGAAATAGTGCGGACTTGTATCTTGTCATTAAACACAAATTATTAACAGTATGGCTTCTTGAGCCCCCTCAGCAAGTAGTGACATCAGTCCACCCGCAAGTACCAAATAGCAAATTCTTAATCCATCTTCTTTAATCCTAAGATCCTCCCTAGTGCAAGGACACGCCTTTCGAGTCTGAATCTCTTAACAGCCCACAGTCCTGAGCTTGGGACATGACACTCAACAGTGAAAATACACACTAACCCTCACCCAACCCGTCAATGGGTGCAGTACAAGAGAGCAGCACCCCTCCCTCCCTACTACCTGTGAGTGACACTTAAACAGTGGAGCACCCCTCCATCCCCACTACCTGTGGGTGACACTGAAACAGTGGAGCACCCCTCCATCCCCACTACCTGTGGGTGACACTGAAACAGTGGAGCACCCCTCCATCCCCACTACCTGTGGGTGACACTGAAACAGTGGAGCACCCCTCCATCCCCACTACCTGTGGGTGACACTGAAACAGCGGAGCACCACTCCCTCCCCACTACCTGCAGGTGACACTGAAACAGTGGAGCACCCCTTCCTCCCTACTAACTGTGGGTGACACTGAAACAGCGGAGCCCCACTCCCTCCCCACTACCTGTGGGTGACACTGAATCAGTTGAGCACCCCTCCCTCCCGACTACCTGCAGGTGACACTGAAACAGTGGAGTACCCCTCCCTCCCTACTACCTGCAGGTGACACTTAAACGGTGGAGAACCCTTCCCTCCCCACTACCTGCAGGTGACACTTAAACAGTGGATCACCCCTCCCTCCCCACTACCTGTGGGTGACACTGAAACAGTGGAGCACCCCTCCCTCAGTGTCACTACCTTTGGGTGATACTGAAACAGCGGAGCACCACTCCCTCCCCACTACCTGCAGGTGACACTGAAACAGTGGAGGACCCCTTCCTCCCTACTAACTGTGGGTGACACTGAAACAGCGGAGCCCCACTCCCTCCCCACTACCTGTGGGTGACACTGAACCAGTGGAGCACCCCTCCCTCAGTGTCACTACCTTTGGGTGACACTGAAACAATGGAGCACCCCTTCATCCCCACTACCTGCAGGTGACACTGAAACAGTGGAGGACCCCTTCCTCCCTACTAACTGTGGGTGACACTGAAACAGCGGAGCCCCACTCCCTCCCCACTACCTGTGGGTGACACTGAACCAGTGGAGCACCCCTCCCTCAGTGTCACTACCTTTGGGTGACACTGAAACAGTGGAGCACCCCTTCCTCCCCACTACCTGCAGGTGACACTGAAACAGTGGAGGACCCCTTCCTCCCTACTAACTGTGGGTGACACTGAAACAGCGGAGACCCACTCCCTCCCCACTACCTGTGGGTGACACTGAACCAGTGGAGCACCCCTCCCTCAGTGTCACTACCTTTGGGTGACACTGAAACAGTGGAGCACCCCTTCCTCCCCACTACCTGCAGGTGACACTGAAACAGTGGAGGACCCCTTCCTCCCTACTAACTGTGGGTGACACTGAAACAGTGGAGCACCCCTCCCTCCCTACTAACTGTTGGTGACACTCAAACAGTGGAGCACCCCTCTCTCCCCACTACCTCCTGTGGGTGACACTGAAACAGTGGGTGGGATTACGGCAAGACAGAGGACCTGTTTGATAGTGGTAGAGGGAAATCTCAATGGACAGCACTACCGCGACGAGATCATCGGCCCTGTTGATCTACCGTTTTTGCGTCGTCATGGCCCAGGCATTACCTTTCAACATGACAACGTCCGGCCTCATATTGCTCGACTTGTTCAGCATTCTCTTCAACAAAACAACGTGAATGTCATCCCCTGGCCGGCTCGCTCCCCTGATCTCTCACCAATCGAGCACATGTGGGATGAGATGGATCGCCGCCTTCGACGTCAACCACGTGTTCCACAGACACTCCAGGAACTTCGAAACATGCTCCAGCATTTATGGACAAATATCCCACAGGACTTTGTGCGACGCCTGGTCCATTCCATG